GTGAAATTGTAATAAATCACATCTAAGTGATACATGTGCCTGTACTTGCCACCCACTGTTGGATGGATGGCGAAAAGGAGGAATTGGAAGAAATGAAAGGTTCTAGACCAGAATGTTCCTTCGTAGAAGATACCTTCAGGTATAACCATTGTTACATGTGTGTAGTTTATTCAACACTACTGTGTATATAGCGGACAAACTTAAGTCCTTATTTGAAACATCTAATCTTTCTAGATGTTTAGAAGTGCACAAAGTATGTTAAAAGTAGAGGTAGTGAAATAACATTTTGTAGATATATCCTTTTGTTAAGATTCATATGAAATACTCATTTAGAAATGGAATGATCAGAATGATCAAACCACCTCTCAGAGCAGTACATATTACTTTATTTGTGCTGGTTCAGGGAGAAAGTACAAGGGGGGGTTATACCAGTATGTTAGGCAAGGTTAACCATTGTCCTGTTATATGTCTGCATTTTGGTTTACTTAGTTGTGTATATAGTGTATATAAGGGACAAACATCCAAATTTACAACATCTAGTCTTCCTAGATGTTAAAGAGGTTGCCAGTGTATGACAAAAATAACCAATAAATACATTGTGTACACTTGATGTTAAAATTCATAGGCAAGACTTCTGAAAACAACTAGCAGAAGTGAAATTGTTAAAATCCTCTCTAAGCATTATAGATGCTTATTAGACTTGTCCACTGGGTTGATAGAGAAGACGAAGGGTCCTTGGCTAGAGTGTTCCTCTTTAGATGATACTTCGAGACTATAGCCATTGTACACAGTTTATTTAGTGCTACTGTGTGTATGTATAGTGGACAAACTTAAATCTTTATTTGAAACATCTAGCCTTTTAGATGAGTAAAAGTACACAACATATTTTGAAAGAGAGTTAAACACCTTTTAAGTATTTTTTTTTCTGTTAATAGGAATGGTTTTATTTGGGGAGTGGGGTTGTCTTGGAGAGTAAGCTGACGTTTACTGGGTGGTGGGGGTGGGGGGAGGGGACAGGGAAGGAAGTGCAGAGAGCAGGGCTCTGCCCATCAGTCTTTATAGACAAGTTCAGATTGTCTACCCATTGTTCTGGTTGTGCATTTGAGTTAATATTGCTGTGTGTTAAAGAACAAGCAAGTCCTAACGCCCAAAGTATATTAAGAGTAGAGGTAGTCAAATAACCCCTTATTGAATGCCCTTTTGTTGGTTTTAAGGAAGGGCTGTGTCTTCTGGGAGTATCTGTTAGTCCACCTCTTGGAACTAGATGTAGTCTGGTACTTAGTCGCTGAAATGCTGAAGGAGTAAGAGGAAGGGTGAGGGGAAGGGCTCTTGGCTAATATCTCCCATTATCTGGAAGACAGTTTTAGGTTATAGGTCTGTAATGTGCATTTTTGTGAAGTACCTATGTTTATTGTGGACAAGGTTCATTACTTTGAAACATCTAGGCTTTTTAGATGTCCTGAGGTGACAATGTATGATATAAAGTAGAACTAGTGAGTTAACCAATTTGTAAATATCTTTTTTATAATTGATTTTTTTTAAAAGGCAGCATCTTGGACCTGGAATAATTATACCTTCTCTGAGAAATGTACATCAGGACTTGTTCATTTAGGTTGGCAGCTGAGGGGCGGAAGGAAGTATAGAGGGAGGGCTGAATGTGGATGTGTTCACGTTTATATTTTGATGATGACCACTGATGTGTGTGCATCTCCTGGCTGTACTATAGGAATGCATTGTTAAATAATTCAGCAGAAACATACCTCCTTGCTGACACCGTAATAGTTTAGACCAGATGATGGATCCTCTTAGGACTGTTATACTTCGTGTACTCTGTTGCTTTATGTCTCATTTTAATTGAACATTAAGGGAATGTAGTATTTTAATCATAGCTCTGCCAGTATGTTTATCTAGAGGCCTGTTGCCATTTTTGTCTTTGAAGTTTTTGTTGCCAAGAAAGGCAAGATTACATTTTTTTCCTTCCAGATTGAGTTGGTGTAGTGTATTCTTGGTTATCAAAATACTCATAGCTTTGGGACTTTGAAATGGTAAATATTCATGATGTGTGAAACAGCATGATACATAACTGTATGATCTTAATTACATAAAAATGGATGCTTAGTTGTGAAAAATACACAAATGAGACCTAGAAGGACATGTCAAACGGTAAACTGCTTGTGATTATGAATGACTTTGTTTTTTGCTTCTTGTGCTTTTTGGTTTCCTATTATGCACATGTTAACTTTTAAGAAATAAATGTTATTTTAAAAACCTTAAAAAAAAAAAAAAAATGTTGTCCTAGCAAGGATTGTCCCTCTGCGGAGGTGGGGTCTTAGTTTGATCCAAAGAATCTGGAAGAGTAAGGGAACTTGCAGAAGTAGGGAAAGCTTGGTTCTCTGCAACACTCCCCCACCCCCAGAGATAGCTGAAGTTAGAAGGGGATTCTTTAGAATGTTAGGAGAGTTTTTTGATTCCTCAGGCTAGGAGAAAGTCCTAGACCAAAGGGAACTTCACAATCCCTTCCTTGTCTGCAACAATAAAGATCAGATGTGGACAGGAAAGGTTGAGTTGGGGTCATCTAGGAGATCTGATGGAGAGGGAGACAGGGACGGGGATGGGGGTGGGCATGGGGATAAGGCGGCTATTGCCTTAGAAAGACATGTGGCATGTGTACCTCAGAACAAGGTTCTGATTAAGGGTCATAAAGATTTGAACATAAGGAACTACTGGGTGAGTCCTTTTCCCCTGCTTTCGGCAAAAGAGATAAAGTTAGAGGATGGAGGTATAATTTGGTGTGCCATTAAGAGATCAGTTTTCTTGGTCCTCTGATTTGTATTGAGGTCAGACTAGATTTCCAAATTTTTCCAGTTCCTGAGAATGTAGCCAAGAGGTGAGTCTGAGGGAGGCTCCTGGACATACCAGTATCCATTTTTAGCCTGTATGTTGTAGGATGGGGATATTGAGAGCCACTAGTTGATTCAAAGGCATCCCTTCTGTCCCAGTGAGCCCTCCATTCAACTAGTGGCACCAAATGGCTGACCATCCCAACAGTTGCATCCAACAGTGAGAGGTGACCCCTAAGTGTAAACCATGAAGCTAAGGCACCAACTATGTGACTCAAGCAGGGAAAGACAGAAAAGAGAGATTCCCAGGACCAACGGATAACTCTCCAGTTGGCGATTTCCTGAAACATGGAAGGCACTCTTGGGACGGTTCAGAGGCAACACCTGCTGCTGCTGCTAAGTCACTTCAGTCGTGTCCGACTCTGTGCAACCCCATAGATGGCAGCCCATCCAGCTCCCCCGTCCCTGGGATTCTCCAGGCAAGAACACTGGAGTGGATTGCCATTTCCTTCTCCAGAGGCAACACCTAGGCTCCTGTAAATCCATCTGGACTGAAAGAGAAGTGAAAATAACAGGGAAGACAGGCTGAGGAATCTGTCTTTTAGTCCTACCGGGAAGGTGGTGGCCAGGGAAGTGGGCTCAGTGTTTTGTTTGAACCAATCAATATATGTCTCATGGTGCACAGAAGTTGTCTTGCTGAGGGTGGATGCCCTGTAGTCTGGTCCATTCCAAGACCACCTTATCCTGTCATAGGTGTCTTCAAGCAGCAGGTGCAGTAATGTCTTTTAAGAGCCTGATCTATGCCAGCACATTATCAATTAGTCTAATCCTCAGTCTAAGGAAGAAAGAGGAAAGGAGAGCCCTCACCCACTTGGGTGCAGTGGGCTATGGGGCCTTTGGAACATGCCAGAGGGTAACCCTAGCCAGAGTTTCTCAATTGCTTCCATGGCCATTTGACTGTTTGCAGAAGGTTTGAAGAGAAAGGAACAGCAAGTGGTGGGGGGAAATCCCTAAGAGTCCCTGTATGAGAGATGCTTTATATTTTCAGGTAAAGATTTTCATGAGTCCAATTCTTGAATCTTCTCATACCTAGAGAAACATTTAATACCACAGACCAATGTCTGGTTCTGGTTCTCCTGGCTAGCCCCTCTTCTAAGCCACTTGGCAGCCTTTCTACTTCTATTAATCTTCAGGCCATGTATCTTCAAACTTCTTGGTAAGTTTGTTTCTTCTAGAATACAACAAATAAGTCTCCAGATAATAGCAGAACAAGAATATCACCTGGCCAACACTCAGACAATGCTTGAACAAGCTGCCTGGTTATTCTGTGGACTCTCATCTCCCTCTGTAAATGCACCCTGTCAGAGAGCAGGCACTGGGACCCAGGACCCTATGATGCCTCTGTTAAGCCTGAAGAATCTAGGAATGGTCATCATCCCTTTCCCAGTGACCTGTGTCCCCATGACTTGAGATGGGGTAGGTAGTCAGTTCATCATGAACAAGCTAAATATTTGGCCCATAAATAAAAAGAGATGGGACTATGGAGCCCTTTACCAAGGCCATAGGTGTGGACACTTATATCAAGGTCACAGGACAAAAATTTTCAGAATTAACCAAGCCCCATAACAGTTATTGCCACGAGCCTCCTGATCTACACTGGCCAGTTCTCGGACCCCATATTAGGTAAAATACCCACCCTATTAACCACCCTATAGCATCCCAACCAATCACCTAAGGCCACCCTTTCAGGAGGAGTTTTCTCTGTCCTGAGGCTATAAAAATTGGCTACTAGCCTGCAAAAGGGTCAACTTTCCCTTGAGCTGGCCCGCTGTTCTAACAGCATCTCCTGCTCTAATAAACTTTGTCTCCTCTGATTCTGCCTCATGTCTGGAAATTCTCTTTCAACCTGCACACAGACCATGGCAAATACTACCCAAAGTTTGTGACAATTTTGGATGAACACTTGAGTTCTTGACTGAATTTATTAATAAAGATCTAGATATTATCCTATTGGGTTTTTTTACTAGAAGGGGTTCTAATTTTATAAAATTACTCTGGAATCACTGTGGAAGACCATGGCTCAACATGCCACAATAGCCAGTGCTATACCACTTCAGTTTGCTTCACACTGTTGTTGGCTACATTTCCTTCTTTTCTTACCTTTGGTACCATGGTTTTGCAGCTTCGCTTTGTGTCTTGGTCATACCACACTGCATGTGGGACCTAGTTCCCTGATCAGGGATTGAAACCACGTCTCCTGCATTGGAAGCATAAGTCTTAACCACTAGACCACCGGGGAAGTCCTGGATTTGTACCTTAAAAAAAAAAAAAAAAAAGCATCCAATCCTTGCCTCAGACTCTGTTTGTTTGTTTTGTTTTTGGCGACTCTGGTTAAATCAAGTATACAGCCCCAGTTTGAGTAATCAGGGCCAATTGGACAATTTCTGGACTTATTTTTGAGATATTAGGGAATGGACTGTTTTTTCCACTGGACAAAAACCTAGAAGTGGCCCTGGAAGCTAGTGACAGTGGAAGAGGAGGAAGACTGCATAAAAATGAAACACAGAGGAAATAGATCCAAGAAATGGAGAGCGAAAACTCAGTTCTGATCACACTGTTTCACACCTGGATCAAGCCTCACTTGAAGCTAGAGCTCCTCGGTTTTCAAACTAATAAATGAATAAACCCTATTTGAGTCAAGGTTCAAATGTCCTACATCTGAGGCTGCCTGTTTTAGCAGAAGCATGGCCCAGTCTTACATTCTTAACCCAGGTCCCCTAACTTCCTAGCTTTCAGTTCCGTTTGGTCGCTCAGTTGTGTCTGACTCATTGCGACACCATGGACAGCAACATGCCAGGCCTCCCTGTCCATCACCAACACCCAGAACTTACTCAAACTCATGTCCATTGAGTCGGTGATGCCATTCAGCCATCTCATTCTCTGTTGTCCCCTTCTCCTCCCACCTTCAATCTTTCCCAGCATCAGGGTCTTTTCAAATGAGTCAGTTTGTTGCATCAGGTAGCCAAAGTATTGAAGTTTCAGCATCAGCATCAGTCCTTCCAATGAATATTCAGGACTGATTTCCTTTAAGATGGACTGGTTGGATCTCCTTGCGGTCCAAGGGACTCTCAAGAGTCTTCTCCAACACCACAGTTCAAAAGCATCAATTTTTCGGCACTCAGCTTTCTTTTGTCATCTGCATATCTGAGGTTATTGATATTTCTCCCAGCAATCTTGATTCCAGCTTGTGCTTCCTCCAGCCCAGCGTTTCTCATGATGTATTCCGCATATAAGTTAAATAAGCAGGGTGACAACATACAGCCTTGACGTACTCCTTTTCCTATTTGGAACCAGTCTGTTGTTCCATGTCCATTTCTAACTGTTGCTTCTTGACCTGCATACAGATTTCACAAGAGGCAGGTCAGGTGGTCTGGTATTCCCATCTCTTTCAGAATTTTCCATTTCTGCTTTATTTACTATGCCAAAGCCTTTGACTGTGTGGGTCACAATAAACTGTGGAAAATTCCTAGCTTTAGGGCTACCATTTCTGGGTTTCTCCAACTAAGCAATGTTCTTTTCAATTACCAAAAACTGGTGTTTTGATGAAGAGAGGCTGATCCTAACACAGGGAAGAAGAGATTCTCAAATACAGAATAGTATCTGTGGGTTTCTCTTACGCATGTAACAGTTATATCAATAATTGTTCTACCTCCCAGGGACTGAGCCTTAGCCTGAGTTCCCCTGGGTAGGTGGGCTTTGGCATAGGGTCCTGCACTTGCTAAGGCCCCCTATCCCAGAAGTGAGGAAGGGAATGATCACGGCCCCTCCAGTCTGAGGGTACTGGCCTAGCCTCAGGGAATTCCTTACCCTGATCCCTTTCCCACACCCAGGGAGATAGCTCTCAATTTTTTATTTTTAATTTTTGTTTGAAGTAAAGTCCTTAGTTAGCCAAAAATAATAATAACAATTGTTCTAGCATTTGTGACAAACACAAACTTGAGTAAGATTTCCCTGCCCTTATATTCTGATGCTCAAGAAGAGCACTGTCCAAGAGTGATGTAATATGAGTCAAAATAAAAATGCAAATCATATAAGGAATTTAAGATTTTTTAGCAACCACACTAATATAATGAAAGGCAGTAAATAAAATCAATTTTTAAACATATTTAATTTGATGTAATATATCCAAATATTACATTTCAGCATGTAATCAAAATAAAAGTTATTAGTTATTTAATTTTTTTTTTTTTTACTAAATCTACAAATACAGTGTTTTATAGTTATAGCACATCTCATTTTGGTCTAGCTACATTGCAAATGCTTAAGAGCCCCATGTGCCTCGAGGCTAATATATTGGACAGTGGCGTTTTAGAGAACACTCATATAGATAAACACTTAAATGAAAGCATGTAATCAGTGTTGCTTAGAGGTACAAACTATGCTCTGAAAGAGTAAGGAAGGTAAGACGGAAAGAGGAAACAGACGATTTGTGTCTAAAAGTATTTCCCAGATTACAGACATCCCTGGAGGTAGAAGATCTAAATCAATGATTTTTGTATACAGATGGACCTTAAATCGAGGCTTCCCAAGTGGCAAATGGTAAAGAATCTGCCTGCTAATGCAGGAGACCCAAGGGACAGGGGTTCAATCCCTGGGTCAGGAAAATCCCCTGGAGTAGGAAATGACAACTCACTCCAGTATTCTTACCTGGAAAATTCCTTAGACAAAGGAGCCTGCAGATTGCAATCCATGGGGTCACAGAGTCAGATACCACTGAGCACACACACACACACACACACAGACCTTAAAAACTTAGGCTTCTTATGATAGCCTTTTGGGGGAAGGGTAATATTTTCTGAAATTTGAGAATGAAAGCTTTGGGAACATCATCTAGCTAACTTGGACATATCTTTTCCCCGTGGTGTGATCATTTCTCAATCCCTTTTGCTTGACTCCACCCAGCAGTACTACCTCCTCAAACTCTATTGGAAGATAATAGGTCCATATCTGAAAGAGTGGAGGAGGGGCTTTCGCAGCATTGGGAATTACATCTTGGTGAAGGAAAGTTACATTTGGGAGGAGGCAGAAAACTCCAGCCTCAATAAGCAATGCCCACTCATATTTCACTTGATTAAGAAGATTTTCCTCAACTTTCCCATTTCCAAAAACAAGGATGTTTTCCTACACAGCCACAAAATCACACTCAGGATGTTGGTAATTGGTTGAGTTATCTAATTATCTAATATTGTCACATTTAACTTCAACAGACCCCAAATGTCCTGTGTAGTTTTCTTTATTATTCAACATTTAAAAAAATTTTTAAATACCACTTCAGTATTCTTGCCTGGGAAATCCCATGGACAGAGGAACCCGGTGGGCTGCAGTCCATGGGGTCTCAAACACAACTGAGACACAACTGAGAAGGCATTCATGTATTTTTTAAAAGAAATATTTCCCTATTATGAAGTCCAAAATGTATTTAGGTCTTAAATCCTCCTGGAATTGATATTTGTGATGAAATGACGTGTCTCATTTTTTTTCCATAAGGATACCCTCTTGTCACAGACCCTTCACTGAAAAGACCATCTTTTTTCCCTCCATTTCTATGTGATGCCACCTTTGTCACAAATCAAGTTTGCAAATATGTTATAAAAACTGTTTTTTAAAACAATGATTGTCATATAAGTCAGACTAGTGGGGGGTTGACATGTATACACTGCTATATTTAAAATAGATAACCAACCAGGACCTACTGTACAGCACAGGGAACACTGCTCAATACTCTGTAATAACCTAATGGGAAAAGAATTTGAAAAAGAATTGCTGTTGTTTAGTTGTTGTATCCAATTCTTCTGTGACCCGGTGGATTGTAGCCTGCCAGTCTCCTTTGGTCATGGAATTTTCCAGGCAAAAATACTGGTATGGGTTGCCATTTCCTTCTCCAGGAAATCTTCCCAACTCAGGGATCGAACTGGGATCTCTTGCATTGGCAGGTACATTCTTTTACCACTGAGCCACCAGGGAAGCCCCCCCCCACCCCAAAATATATACATGAGTCATTTTGCCGCACACCTGAAACTAGTACAACATCGTTAATCAAAAGTGCTTCAATATAAAACCAAAATTAAAAAGAAAAAAAAGTCAGACTAGTGGTCTTCTTAGGAAGGAGGCAGGGAGTGTATTTGTGAAGCACCTGACACTATTTTTGCTCTACATGATGACATGTCTGTTCAGTGATTATTATACTTACCTTTCTAGTTCAGAATATAATTGTGTTATATTTCCTAACAAAAGGGTTAGCTAGAAAGTAAGCATATAGAAAAAAGAAATACATTGATGAGACGAGTGCCAGCATCTTTGAAAAGTGAGTTTGTGGCTTTTTCTCTCGGCTGGGGAAACTGGTGCGAGATGCAAAGAACAATATACAGAATTCAAGGTGGCAAAGCGCAGACTCAGCACTAATGGGCACTAATGGCCAAGTGCACCAAGGAAAGGGACGTTCCCAGACCTTTCTCCTACAACTGGCTTTGCGGTAGCCGGGAACCGCCAGAGTGGGAGCGTCTAGGTCAAGTGACAGCGCTGTTTCGTCCGGAACCAACTCACAGGGACAGCCAGCGGCCACAAGGACGACCTCCCCGGAGGCGTACCCGCACCACGAACCCCCTCCGACCCGCAGCTAGCAGTTCGCCAGTCTGAGTCGCCAGCGGGTTAAGACGAAGTGGCGCCGCTGAGGCCTCTGGGAGGGGGCGGTCCTTGGGCAGCTGCTGGGCATTGTGGGCGTGGTCTCCGGGCGGCTTTCCTGCGAAGCCCGACAGGACTAGTCAGGTCCTCTTCCTGACTAGAACTTGCGCCTAAGAGAAAGAGTCCGGGAGCGGTTGCGAAGTTCAAGAGGAGCAGGTGAAGTCCTGGGCTCGGAGGCGTATCCAAGGTCAGAAGGGTTAGAAGAAGGCCGGCGAATGCGGGTGGCGGGCTGAGGGGCTGCGTTTTGGAACCCTGGGATCTGTACCCGCGGTTACGACGTCCCCCCATCGCCGCCTCCGGGTGGGAACGGCTCCGGAGTAGCGGTTTATCTCGTCTGTTCTGTGGGTTGAGGACCTTCTCACCTTGGAAGACCCTGCTGTCGGCTGGGACCCCTTCCCGAAGTCAGCGATCCCCTTCTCGCCGCTCCTCTAGCACCTTATAGGGAGTGCTCAGTAAACTTTTGGGCATGCTTGAGACTCCCGGGGAGACAGTGGTTTGGGGATGGTGGGAAGGCCCCCGCTGAAAGCAGAAGTTTGTGGGACCCGCAAGTCCGGGCTTGTACCGACCATTCAGAATATTGGTGGTAAAGCCAGTGGCAGTTCCGGAGGCATCAGGAATCCGTCAGGGAGGAAAAGCCTCTGGATTTGAGATCTCTTTCTGAGCTTCTGAGCCACGGTTGGGGCTGGAAGAGGGAACTGATCTGGGAGTTGCTGGGAGACCTTCGCTATTGTTGACACTTCTACTTGCTGAAAGCAGGGATTGGATCGAGTGTCTGCATCCAGGTATGGGCAAAACGAAGAAGTTACGGAGAATTTGCCCGTAAAGAGAGGCAAGCATTGCCTAGGATCTGGGTGGGCAACAGTCTGTGCAGCGAGGATCAGAGAGGAGGAAACACCACAGTGTGAGGGACTGACTGGTCAGGTGAGAAAAGACCAAAAGTTGCCCTTTTACCACAGCAAGTCCGGCGGTTGCTAATCTGGATTCTCCAATTTCAGACCTGGTCTTTCAGAGCTCCTTTCTCCTCCCCTAGACTTGTCAGTTTAGCATTTTGCCTTTCCCTGTGAAGAGGAAGATCAGCCAAGTCCCAGGTGAGTAGAAGTTTTTTCTCTCCTAAAATTTAGTTTAATTTGACAGAGGGAATAGATACACTATCTCATGTCTTTCTGGGAAGGAGGAGACCCACATTTGTTGAGCGGCAGTGTCTCGTGTGTTATCACATTATCATTTGGATAGCTGAGTACTGTTGGAAAGTGTTAGTCACTCAGTTATATCCAACCCTGTGACCCCACGGACTGTAGCCCACCAGGCTCCTCTGTCCATGGAATTCTCCAGGCAAAAATACTGGAGTGGGTAGCCATTCCCTTCTCCAAGAAATCTTCCCAACCCAGGAATTGAACCCAGGTTTCCTGCATTGCAGAAGATTCTTTACCGGCTAAACCACCAGAGAAGCTGGTGTTGGAAGAAGTACTCTAATTTTAAAGATGTGTCAGTAGCCTCAGTAAAATGAAAAATTTGCCCAAGAGTACTCAGAAGGCAAGTAGCCTACTACTAAATACTATTGACCTAGTCAGATTCAGAATCTAGAGCTGTAGGACCCCCAGACTCTTGACACTATGCTGGTGTTTCCCAAACATCTTATTCACTTACCACCTATTTATGCCATACCTGTGTCCTACCTGTATTACTGTTATTCTCATATTTTTAATTTTTAACTTTTATTTTAAAAAACAAACTTGCACTGAGAAACACTGCATATGAAATTATGCATTTGATAGATGCTCTAAAGTCTTTATGTTTATTCTAAGATGTATCTGAAGGTGTTGATCTATGTACCATGTAATATCATCTCCTGTCAAAAAGATACAGACTGCAATTTGGGACACAGTGCACTGTCATGCCTTTTAACTTTTGTTTTCTGATGAAGGGTAAAGATTCTCTCCCACTTTCAGAGACTTCATTGTCCGAATAACATTACTCATTTTGACACTATCATTATCTAAGACCCACTTATAGTTTAAGACACTTGTGCAAATGTTCTCCTGTGTTTTATTTCTGTTGAAGTATCCTATAAAGCAATAACTTAATAGGATATACCCAGAAGTCTGAGCATTGTATTACCTTTGTTTATTGCAAATAACTTTTCTTCCAGTTATCTGTGTTTTCTTTCCTTGGGGAAATTTAGACTATTTAAAAATTAGTTAAGTACAATGATAACTAATATTTATACCATTTTCAAGGTACCAATTGTTAAAACTTTTACGATGGGAGTTGGTGAATGCATCTCTTTTATTGTTCATTAGAGTAGCAAGGAGGAAATTTGGCTTATAACCTCAATCAGCTTAAATTCTGTGTCAAGTTATTTTCCTGGGCACCCAAAGTCAAATACTAGTGGACTGATCATACTTTTTTTTTTTCCTATGAAGGGTTTGTTTTGCCAGAAGTCTTACTTTCGTTTTAGGTTCGAAGGGTTTGCTAACAAAAGAAATAACTTGTTACACACAATTTCAGGTTTTTTTAATAGAAAATTATTTGACTTAATTTCAATATACTATCATTAAAAGAAAAGAAATAGAAACAATAGAGAAAACTAACAGCACATACATCACCTAATTGGGCTGGTCAATATGCAAATTTAAACAGTGCTGGGAAGTCCCTCCATAATAGCAATGTGAAGTCCCAATTGGGAAAAGGTCCCAAGCAATGCATCCACTCCACTGGTGAGACTTCACATTGCAGTTTCAGGGATTCCCGCATATTTGTGCGCAAAATTGCAGCTCTGGTTTTAATTTTTTACAATGTTGTTTGTTTTATCTTGTGAGTCACAGGATTTCATTACACCCTGAGCTGTTGGCCAGACCTCCAGGGGCTCAAGAATTCTAAGACCTACTCCCTTTCTTATCTAAAGTGCTGCCTGACTTACTATGCTTGTGGGCAGGCACTGAATCTGGGCAGTGTCCAGGCAGGTCAGAAGCCAGGTAAGGGACCTGCCCTCATGCTTCTGAAGCCTGAACAAGACTTTCTCCATTTTAATTTCCCTGTCAGCCTCAGTGTTGTTTAGACTGAAAGAGCATGTTGTTGTTCAGTCTTTCAGTCGTGTCAGACTCTTTGTGACCCCATGGACTGCAGCATGCCAGGCTTCCCTGTTCATCTCCAACTCCCAAAGCTTGCTCAAACTCATGTCCATCAAGTTGGTGATGCCATCCAACCATCTCATCCTCTGTCGTCCCCTTCTAGAAGCTCCTGTCTTCAATCTTTCCCATCATCAGGGTCTTTTCCAATGAGTCACTTCTTCACATCAGGTGGCCAAAATATTGAAGTTTCAGCTTCAGCCTCAGTATTTCCAATGAATATTCAGGACTGATTTCCTTTAGGATTGACTGCTTTGATCTCCTTGCAGTCCAAGGGACTCTCAAGAGTTTCCTCCAACACCACAGTTCAAAAGCATCAATTCTTCAGCGCTTAGCTTTATTTGTGGTCCAACTCTCGCATCCATACATGACTACTGGAAAAACCATAGCTTTACTAGACAGACCTTTGTCAGCAAGGTAATGTCTCTGCTTTATAACATGCTGTCTAGGTTTGTCATAGCTTTTCTTCCAAGGAGCAAGCATCTTTTAATTTCATGGCTACAGTCACCATCTGTAGTGATTTTGGAACCCTAAAAATAAAGTCTGTCAGTGTTTCCATTGTTTTCCCATCTATTTGCCATGAAATGATGGGACTGGTTACCATGACCTTGGTTTTTTCAATGTTAAGTTTTAAGCCAACTTTTTCACCCTCCTCTTTTACTTTCATCAAGAGGCTCTTAGTTCCTCTTCACTTTCTGCTGCTACGTTAGTATCATCTGCATATCTGAAGTTGTTGATATTTCCTGGCAATCTTGATTCCAGCTTGTGCTTCATCCAACCCAGCATTTCACATGATGTACTCTGCATATAGGTTAAATAAACAGAGTGGCAACATACAGCCTTGACATACTCCTTTCCCAATTTGGAGCCAGTCTGTTGTTCCATGTCCAGTTCTAACTGTTGCTTCTTGACCTGCATACAGATTTCTCAGGAGGTAGGTAAGGTGGTCTGGTATTCTGATCTCTTGAAGAATTTTCCACAGTTTGTTGTGATCCATACAGTCAAAGGCTTTGGCATAGTCAATGAAGCAGAAATAGATGTTTTTCTGGAACTCTTTTGCATTTTTGATGATCCAACGGATGTTGGCAATTTGATCTCGGGGTTCCTCTGCCTTTTCTAAATCCAGCTTGAACATCAGGAAGTTATCAGTCCATGTACTATTGAAACCTAGCTTAGAGAATTTTGAGCATTACTTTGCTAGCGTGTGAGATGAGTGCAGTTTTGTGGTAGTCTGAACATTCTTTAGCATTGCCCTTCTTTGGGATTGGAATGAAAACCGACCTTTTCCAGCCCTGTGTCCACTGCTGAGTTTTCCAAATTTGCAGGCATATTGAGTGCAGCACTTTCAAAGCATCATTTTTTAGGATTTGAAATAACTCAGCTGGAAGTCCATCACCTCCACTAGTTTTGTTCATAGTGATGCTTCCTAAGGCCACTTGACTTTGCATCCCAGGATGTCTGGCTCTAGGTGAGTAATCACACCATCGTGGTTATCTGGGTCATGAAGATCTTTTTTTGTATAGTTCTTCTGTGTAGTTTGTATAGTTCTTCTGTATAGTTCTTCTTGCCACCTCTTCTTAATATCTTCTGCTTCTGTTTAGGTCCGTACCATTACCATTTCTGTCTTTTATTGTGCCCATCTTTGCATGAAATGTTCCCTTGGTATTTCTAATTTTCTTGAAGAGATCTCTAGTCTTTCCCGTTCTATTGTTTTCCTCTATTTCTTTGCATTGATCACTGAGAAAGGCTTTCTTATCTCTCCTTGCTATTCTTTGGAACTCTGCATTCAAATGGGTATATCTTTCCTTTTCTCCTTTGTCTTTTGCTTCTCTTCTTCTCTCAGCTATTTGTAAGGCCTCCTCAGACAACCATTTTGCTTTTTTGCATTTCTTTTTCTTGGTGATGGTCTTGACCACTGCCTAGTGTACAATGTCACGAACCTCCATCAATAGTTCTTTAGGCACTCTATCCACCAGATCTAATCCCTTGAATCTATTTGTCACTTCTGTTTATAATCATAAGGAGTTTGATTTAGGTCATACCTAAATAGTCTAGTGGTTTTCCCTACTTTGTTCAATTTAAGTCTGAATTTGGCAATAATGAGTTCATGATCTGAGCCACAGTCAGCTCCCAGTCTTGTTTTTGTTGACTGTATAGAGGTTCTCCATCTTCAGCTGCAAAGAATGTAATCAATCTGATTTCGGTATTGACCATCTGGTGATGTCCATGTGTAGAGTCTTCTCTTGTGTTGTGGAAGAGGGTTTTTGGTATGACCAGTGCATTCTCTTGGCAAAACTCTATTAGCCTTTGCCCTGCTTCATTTTGTACTCCAAGGCCAAACTTGCTTGTTACTCCAGGTATCTCTTGACTTCCTACTTTTGCATTCCAGTCCCCTATGATAAAAAGGACATCTTTTTTTGTGTTAGTTCTAGATAGTCTTATAGGTCTTCATAGAAACCATTCAACTTCAGTTTCTTTGGCATTAGTGGTTGGAGCATAGACTTGGATTACTCTGATATTGAATGGCTTGCCTTGGAAATGAACAGGGATCATTCTGCCATTTTTGAGATTGCACCCAAGTACTGCATTTTGGACTCTTTTGTTGACTATGAGAGCTACCCCATTTCTTCTAAGGGATTCTTGTCCACAATAGTAGATATAATGGTCATCTGATTTAACTTTGCCCATTCCAGTCCATTTTAGTTCACTGATTCCTAAAATGTTGATGTTCACTGTTGCCGTCTCCTGTTTGACCACTTCCAATTTACCTTGATTGATGGACCGGCCATTCCAGGTTCCTATAAAATATTGTTCTTTACAGCATCAGACTTTACTTCCATTACCAGTCACATCCACAACTGGGTGTTGTTTTCACTTTGGCTCTGTCTCTTCATTCTTTCTGGAGTTATTTCTCCACTCTTCTCCAATAGCATATTGGGCACCTACCGACCTAGGGAGTTCATCTTTCAGTGTCATATCTTTGTGCCTTTTCATACTGTCCCAGGGATTCTCAAGGTGAGAATATTGACGTGGTTTGCCTTCCCTTCTCCAGTGGATCACATTTTGTCAGAACTCTCCACTGTGACTAGTCTATCTTGGGTGGCCCTACACAGCATGGCTCATAGTTTCTGCAAACCTTTATAGCGACTTTTTCGGCTACCAACTGGAAAATGGACTTGGTCAGCTAAAATAAATCTTTGACATTGTAACATGGACAATTGTCCTTGCAAATTGCATAATTCTTTCTCCAATTTTGACTTCTCTTCAGCCAGTTTTAATTTGGCTTCATGTACCTTACAGAAGGCAGAGAGGTAGATCAGTCTCTCTGACCCAGTGCAGTACATTCTTATCCTTTCTCAATTGGCGTGAGCTGCAAACACTCAATAAATTCTAAAGTTTTGGTGTGCTTTAATTTGGGGTCTCAGTTCTCACACAATCTGGTGGATATGCCCCATTCAGTAACTAATGAGCAGTAAGGCAAATCTTCCCATCCAGGAATTAAAAACTTCATTAATCTTAATCTCTTGTGGCATTTTGCTTCATGAATCCTGCTTATGGTGCCAGTTTATATTTTGCTTAAAGTTTTACTTTCATTTCAGGTTTGAAGGATTCATTAACAAAAGAAACCACATGTTACTCACAAACAATTAAATTTTTTATAGGAGGTTATCTGACTTAATTTCAATATACAGCCATTAAAAGAAAAGAAACAATAGAGAAAAGTAACAGAACATACATCACCAAATTGGGCTGGCCAACATCCAGATATAAACAACATTGGGAAGTCCCTCCTTATTCAGCAGCCTGGAGTCCCAGTTGGGAAAAGGTCCCAGGTAGTGTGTCCCAGGTAGTGTGAGACTTCAAACTGCAGTTTTGGGAGTTCCCACTTAAAAATCCAGGCCACAAACTGATACATTATCAGTTTTCAAGAAAGAATACAATTCTGGTTTTACTTTAATCTTTTCACAATACTGTTTATCTTGTGAGTCACAGAATTTCACTATACCCTGAGCAGTTGACCAGACCTCCGGGGGCTCAAGAATTCCAAGACCCACTCCTTTTCTTATCTAAAAGTGCTGCCTGACTTACTATGCTTGTGGGCAGGCCTGGAATCTGGACAATGTCAAGATTTTTTTTAGGGCACTTGGGGAAATTTGAATATGGACTAGAGTATTAGGGAATTATTCATTTTATTAGATGTGATAATATTGTAGTTAATATAGAAGTCTTCTTTGGAAATCTATGCTGAAGCATTTGAAGCATTATGCTGTCTGTAATTTACATTAAAATAGTTAAACTGAAAACAAAAAGCACCTGAAAGAAGCAAACACAGCAACATGTCAACAGTTGCTAACTAGATTGTGTTCACTGTTCTATTCTTTCTATCTCCTGTGTTTGTGAAATTGCTTGTTGTAAAGAGAGTACTTGTCCTGTAGTAAAGTAGTGAGATATTAAATGTGAAGCGCTTGGCTCAGTGTCTAGCACATTTTGGTTGTGCCTTGCAGCATGTGGGATCTTAGTTCTCCAACCAGGAATCGAACCTGTGCCCCCTGCAGTAGAAGCATGGGGCCCAATCCACTGGACCACCAGGGAATTCCCAATATCCACTATTATTTATAGCAAAATCCAGTAATATTTGTTGACTTCCCAGGTGGTGCTGGTGGTAAAGAATCCACCTACTAATACAGGAGATATAACAGACGTGGATTCAGTTCCTGGGTCAGGAAGATCCCCTGGAGGAGAGCGTGGCAACCCATTCCAGTATTCTTGCCTGGAGGATCCCATGGACAGAGGAGCCTGGTGGGCTACAGTCCATAGGGTCGCAAAAAGTCTTACATGACTGAAGTGATTTAGCAAGCATGTAATATTTTAAGAGTGTTCACTGACAGATGTTTTCCATCATAAGCTAATTTCTTGTGGGGAGAGAAAATAAAACTTAGCAAGAAACATCAATTTCTATTATGTTAGGAAGAATTTATAAATGCAGTAAAGTATTAATATATCTCAAATAGAAAAAACAACTGATTTCTGCATATTGCTGTGAATATCCTCTTACTACTGTATGCTATTATGTTGTATATGGGTAGGTCTATTTGTATTTATCTGTAGTTAGTTTTTTAATTTTGCCACACTGTGTTCCTGAAACAGTCATTGGAGAGCTGATTTTTCTCATGGAACAGTTTGGTATTGAGATTTGTTTTCCTAGCCAAGGACTTTGTATACAAAGGAGGTGTAGAAGCAGTCCATGATAAACTGGCAGACATTGCTACAACATTTACAATATTCTGTATTTACTTAAAATAATGAAATAATATCCCAAGGCAGTAGAGATTTTATATATATATATATACAAAATTTTATTCATTTATTTGTATTTGGCTGTGCTGGTTCTTTTTTGTTGTGCAGGCTTTTCTCTAGTTGCAGCCAGCAGGGGCTACCCTCTAGTTATGGTGCATGGACTTCCCCATTGCAGTGACTTCTTTTGTGGAACATGGGCTCTAGGGTACGCAGGCTTCAGTAGTTACAGCTCATGGGCTCTAGACAACAGGCTCAATAGTTGTGACACACAGGCTTAATTGCTCCTGAGCATGTGGGATCTTCCTGGACCAGGGATCAAACCCATGTCTCCTGCATTGGCAGGCAGATTCTTTACTACTGAGCCACCAGGGAAGCCCCAGGAGAGCTTTTAAGGAAAAATGACAAACCTTAAATCTTCTTTTAAATGAAGAAATTGAGGATGAGGAAAGTGATTTGCTTAAAGTCACATAATATGTTAGTGCCAGATTTAGGAATAAAACTATTTTGCACTTAAAAAATATTTGTCAAGTATTCATATATGGATGATACAGTGAGCCTCATTGTAAACTGCACGTGTGCTACAACTCTATAGCGTTACTAATTGTTCATAAATTACTAAGCATCTTTAAAGACTATATATAAATAATTAGTTGTGAATCTTTTTTACCTCATTGGAATTCAAAAGTGCTTTTGAGAAATTTTTCATTTGAATAATGCATTTCTTTAATATGATGTGTATAGCCTTTGCCCAATCCAGAGCTGTACCATGGCAGAGACTGGGAAAGAGGAGACGGTGTCAGCAGAGGCTTCTGGGTTCTCAGACTTGAGTGACTCAGAATTTTTGGACCTGGAGGATTCGGAAGAGTCAAGTGCTTCACCTAGCAAGCCTGGTCCTTCTTATGAATTACCTGGGAAGGATGACGAGCTCATAAGTTTACCAAAATTGAAAAGAAGATTGGAGTTCTCATCACCTATGGAGCGATTTCATCTTAAATATTTGTATGTCACTGACCTGTCTACTCAGAACTGGTGTGAACAGCAAATGGTATTTGGAAAGGAGCTTCCTGGTTTCTTGACACCCAAGAAATCAGCTATTTTGGATACTGGTGCCAGCATCCACCTAGCTAGAGAACTAGAAGTTCATGATCTTGTGAGTATCCCCATCACCAGTAAAGAAGATGCTTGGGCAGTTAAGTTTCTGAACATATTATCAATGATTCCTACCCTGCAGTCAGAAGGGCGTATCAGAGAGTTTCCAGTGTTTGGAGAAGTGGAGGGTGTGCTTCTTGTTGGTGTGATTGATGAGCTGTACTATACAGCCAGCGGGGAACTGGAACTGGTGGAACTCAAGACACGTGGGAACCCTGTGCTCCCTTCAGACGCTCAGAAAAAAAAAGATAGTTTTCAAGTCAGCCTGTACAAATATATCTTTGATGCCATGGTACAGGGGAAAATGACTGCTGCTAGCTTAATCCACCACACAAAATTGCATTCAGAAAAACCACTGGGACCTTCAGTGCTGAGGCATGCCCAGCAGGGAGGCTACTCTGTGAAGTCCTTGGGTGACCTCATAGAACCGGTCTTCTTGTCTCTAACACTGTCTGACCTCCCACTTATTGATAGCCTGAAAATTGAGTATGTCCACCAAGAGACTGCCACTGTGCTGGGTACAGAGATAGTGGCCTTTGAAGAGAAGGAGATGAGAAGCAAAGTACAGCATTATATGACCTACTGGATGGGCCACCGAGAGCCTCAAGGGGTTGATGTGGAGGAGGCCTGGAAATGCCGGATGTGCAACTACGCAGATATCTGTGAGTGGAAGAAGAGCGGTGGGTTGACCAGTGCCACGCGAGAGCCACAAGTCAAAAGGGCCAAATGAACAGATGTGCCTTCAAGAACTTTGATGGTTCCTGCATCTAATGTACTCAGCAGAGTTAAAGAGGACCAGTCTTTTCAACCGAGCTTGAATTTCTTGGAGAGTGTTCTCATTTTGGTTCTTTTCATGTTTTCTCAGCCTCTAACCTCACAAATCCAAGACCCTGGCTCATGGCTGAGGGGGAGAGATCTGGGATTACACTATCCCTAGATCTTTGCCACAGGTTGCCAAAAAGACAAATGCTCATCGTGGCTGGAGCACAATCATTGTTTTCCTAAGAAGATTCTTCCATTTCTTTTAAGTCTCTTCCCTACGTTTTTCTCAGTCAAGGTTTATACAAGGTGCTATAGCATGTGCCAGAATTTCCTTTTTAAGACTGAATAATATTCTACTGTGTCAATAGCTTTTAAAAGTAAATGAGAGCAAAGTAGTACTCCAGAGGAGGAGCTGACATGGTAAAAGCTAACATGTTGCGGAATGATTTATCTCAGATGGATCCGAAACTAGAACTATTACAGTGGTGTCATAGTCCACCAGGTTGTCAGATCCTCACATGTGGAAGCAAAAAATGCAGATGGTTCTGTTGACTTGGGAACAAGGGGAGGGTCTAAGTCCTAGAGGTCTGGATGAAGTGAAAAATGAACTATACTGAATTCCAGGTCAGTATCCTAGGAATACTGATTAAGCCTCATAAGCAGATTCTGTGAATGTGGAATACAAGTAAGCTAAGAATTGTTATCCCAGCCTCAGTATCTCTAATTCCACTGAACTTCACGTCTGCTGTTCTTTAATAATGTCTCCAATAAACACAACATTCATTGAATATCTTTATTGGGAGTATTTTTTTCCAGTCTGTGGCTTGCCTTTTTATTCTGTCATGGTGTCTTTTGATGAGCAAAATATTACTGAAGGCCAGTTTGAATGTTTCATCAGTGCTTTTGCTATCTCATTTAAGATATACAATATTTTTCTTTTTTTTTTTGATATACAATATTTTTCAACTTCAACACACCTTGTTGCTTTTACTTATCAATGTATTTTAGAGTTGTTTCATGTTAGTATTTATAGTTCACCTCCTTCCTTTTAGCTGCTGCAAAGGGTTCCATTGTAAAGATATACTGTTTATCTAACGAGGCCTCTATTTATATATACTTAAGCTATTTCTTATCTTTTCCTACTACAAACACTATAATAATGTATAAAGTAGAAAGTAAATATTGGTCTTACATGCATACCTGTAAATCCTGAATCCCAAAATAACCATCAATAGGAAGTTGGATAAAGTTCTTCAAGATACTTTTTGGATCTATCAATATATATTTAAATATAAATCAAATACATGTGTTGGGTGTATGTGATTAGACATAAAAAATCTTATGTAGCATGCTTTTCTTTTCAGGTGAACACAGAATGTTTATCAAAATAAACTATTTCTGGGCCATAAAACAAATCTGAATAAATTTATGTGGATGAAAGTCATACAGAGTATGCTATCTGATCACAGTGGAATTAAGTTAGAGTTGATGACAGATATCTGAACAATCAAAAATTATGTGCAAACTAAATTACACACTAAAGTAACCTATGAGTCAATAGAGATATCACAAAAAGAGAATTTACTTATATTTAATTGAAAATGAAAATATACAAAAATGTGTGGGAGGCAGTATATTTCAGGGAAATTGATAACACTAAATGCCTAATTGGATACCTAATTGACACCATTAATGCCACTAATTGGAAAAGAAGAAAGATCTCAAATTATTGACCTCAGTATCTCCCTTAACTAAAAAAAGGAGAGAAAATGAAATTCAGAGAAAGCATAAAAATGAAATAAGCAACAGAGCTGACATAAATGAAATAGAAAACAGATAATAGAGAAAAATCAACAAAACCAAAAACTGATTTTGAGATCAATAAAACTGGTAAGTTCTAGCCAGAGCAATTAGGGTAGGAGCAAGAGATCAAATTGCCAACATCTGCTGGATCATCGAAAGAACAAGAGAGTTCCAGAAAAACATCTATTTCTGCATTATTGACTATGCCAAAGCCTTTAATTGTGTGGATCACAATAAATTGTGGAAAATTCTGAAAGAGATGGGGAATACCAGACCACCTGACCTGCATCTTGAGAAGCCTGTATGCAGGTCAGGAAGCAACAGTTAGAACTGGACATGGAACAACAGACTGGTTCCAAATAAGAAAAGGGGTACATCAAGGCTGTATGTTGTCACCCTGCTTATTTAACTTCTATGCAGAGTACATCATGAGAAATGCTGGGCTGGATGAAGCACAAGCTGGAATCAAGATTGTCAGGAAAAATATTAATCACCTCAGATATGCAGATGACACCACCCTTATGGCAGAAAGTGAAGAAGTAAAGAGCCTCTTGATGAAAGTGAAAGAGGAGAGTGGAAAAGTTGGCTTAAAGCTCAACATTCAGAAAACTAAGATCATGGCATCCGGTCCCATCACTTCATGGCAGATAGATGGGGAAACAGTGGAAACAGTGGCTGACTTTATTTTTCTGGGCTCCAAAATCACTGCAGATGGTGACTGCAGCCATGAGATGAAAAGATGCTTACTCCTTGGAAGGAAAGTTATGACCAACCTAGACAGCATATTAAAAAGCAGAGACATTACTTTGTCAACAAAGGCCCTTCTAGTCAAGGTTATGGTTTTTCCAGTGGTCATGTATGGATGTGAGAGTTGGACTATAAAGAAAGCTGAGCGCTGAAGAATTGATGCTTTTGAACTGTGGTGTTGGAGAAGACTCCTGAGAGTCCCTTGGACTGCAAGGAGATCCAGCCAGTCCATCCTAAAGGAGATCAGTCCTGGGTGTTCATTGGAAGGACTGATGTTGAAGCTGAAACTCCAATACCTTGGCCACCTGATGCAGAGAGCTGACTCATTGGAAAAGACCCTGATGCTGGGAAAGATTGAGGGCAGGAGGAGAAGCGAATGACAGAGGATGAGATGGTTGGATGGCATCACCGACTCAATGGACATAGGTTTGCGTGGACTCCAGGAGTTGGTGATGAACAGGGAGACCTGGCGTGCTGCGGTTCATGGGGTTGCAAAGAGTCAGACACAACTGAGCTACTGAACTGAACTGAATTAGGGTGGGAAGGGGGAGAGGGAAGACACATGACCAATATCAGGAATGAGGTGACAGCACTATAAATATTATAGATATTAAAAGAAAATAAGGGAATATTATGCAGCCATCTTGGATCCTGCGGAGGCCTGCTAGGAACAGGACTTCTGAATTGACAAATATGTCTGGAAGGCTGTGGTCCAAGGCCATTTTTGCTGGCCATAAGTGGGGTCTACAGAGCCAGAGGGAGCACACAGCTGTCCTGAAAATTGAAGGTATATATGCTCGAGATATACAAAGAGTTGGACATGACTGAGCAGCTGAACTGACTGACTGACTAACTGATACTCAAGATGAACCTGAATTCTGTCTAGGCAAGAGATGTGTTTTTGTGTACAAAGCAAAGAACAATACAGTAACTCCTGGCAGAAAACCTTAGTAATCTGGGGAAAGATAACTCAAGCTCATGGAAACAGTGACATGTTTCCTGCCAAATTCCAAAGCAACCTTCCTGCTGAAGACATTGAACACAGAATCCATGTGATGCTGTACCCTTCGAGAATTTAAACTTACTGAAAAGTAAATGAAAAGTGTGGATTTGTTTTTAAAAAAAGGAGGGGAGGGATATTAAAAACAACTTTATGCCAATACATTTGACAGCTTAGATGATATAGAAAAATTCTTTGAAAGATACAAACTAACCAAAGCTCTCTCAAGAAGAAATTTGCAACCTAAATAGCCCTATATCCAACAAAGAGATTGATTTTGTAGTTTAAAACCTCCCCACAAAGAAAACTCTAGGTCCAGATGATTTACTGCTGAATTCTACCAAATATTTAGAAATGACACTGAAGTCTAGACAAACATCCAGAAAATGGGAGGGATATTTTCCTACTCAATGATACAAGTCCAGGTTGTCTACTTGTGTTTCTAACCTGCTGGCTATAGGTTGGAGGTTTCAACAACCTCCTCCTTGGGTTTGATTAATTTACTCGAGTGGCTCACAGAACTCAGAGAAACATTTTACTTACTAGACTACCAGTTTATTATTAAAGGATATAACTGAAGAATTGCCATATGGAGAGATGCATAAGGTAAGGTATCGGTAAAGGGTGCAGATCTTCCATGCCGTCTATGGGTACATGGCTCTCCCCATACCTTCACGTGTTCACCAACCTGGTTGTGAGCAGGGGTTACACTCTAGTTGTTGTGTGTGAGCTTCTCGTTGTGGTGGCTTCTCTTGTTGCAGAACATGGGCTCTGGGGTGCATGGTCTCAATAGTTGTGGCACACAGGCTTAGTTGCCTGCAGTATGTGGAATCTTCCAGACCAGGGATTGAATCTGTGTCCCCTGCATTAGCAGGTGGATTCTTAACCACTGGACCACCAGGAAGTCCCCTTTTGGGGTTTTATGGAGTCTTCATTACATAGCCATGACTGATTAAATCATTGGCCATTGGCAATTGATTCAACCTCCAGTCTCTCTCCCCTCCCCATAGGGTAGGAGGTGTGGGACTTAAAGTTCTAACCCTCTAATCATGTGGTTTGGTTTTCCTGACAGTCAACCCTTATCCTTAGGTGCTGTCCAAAAGCCACCTCATTAACATAACAAAAGACATGCTCATTCTCATATCTTAGAAATTTCCAAGAGTTTTAGGAGCTCTGATCTAGAATTGGGGGTGAAAGCCAAATACATATAAATCAAAGAAAGGAGAAATGAAGGATGGCTTCTAAATTTTTGCTCAAGTAACCAGGTGAATGATACATTTATTGAGCTAGGAGAAGTGTTATAGTGGGAGTGTGGATGGGGACAGGATTAATAGGTTGATTTGAACATGTGCAGTTGAAGGTAGCTTTTAGGGGGAGATTTCAAGTAGGCATAAGGAATTAGGGGTCAGAAATTCAGGGAAGAGATGAGGGCTGGAGATACAGATTTGTCAGTAAACATCAAATAAATGGTATTTAAAATTGTGGGGCTGAATGAGACCATTTGAAGAAAACTTCAAAAAGAAAAGACCCAAGGCCAAACTCTTGAGTATTCCAATGTTTGGAGGTGGAATAGAGGAAGACTATTCAATAAAGAAAATAGAAAAACAGTATTAATGAGGTGGGAGGAATTATCTTTCTTGAGATGCAGAAACCAAAATAAGGAAGTATTTCATTTTTCTTAAATGCTGTTGAAATCAAATATGATGAGGACAAAGAAAGCCCATTTAACTTTTCAATTGGAATTTCATTGATCAATTGACAAGAGCAGTTTCAGGAGTGTAGTTGTGGTCAAGAAGCCAATTAGAGTGGACTTAAGAGAATTGGAGGTGAGAAAATGTAGGCAGAACCAAGAAACAAGAGAAATTTTCCTATAAAAGAAAGCTAGGGGTATTTCCTTGGTGACCCAGTGATTAAGACTTCGCTACCACAAAGTGACCCAGACCATTGGAGATGTTGGTCAACCACCTCCAAAAGGCAGGCCTGGGCCCAGCCAGTGCCAGCTAAGCATCCTTAGGTAGGATGAGGGGGCATCATGGGACCCCCTCGTGTTGGGAGACAGTGCTGTCTGGTTGATTCCAGTTGGGGGCAGGAGGTATATTTGTTTATTCTCCTGGTTTCATCCATTGGATCATTGAAAAAGCAAGAGAATTCCAGAAAAACATCTACTTCTGCTTTATTGACTATGCCAAAGCCTTTGACTGTGTGGATCACAACAAACTGGAAAATTCTGAAAGAGATGGGAGTACCAGGCCACCTGACCTGCTTCCTGAGAAATCTGTATGCAGGTCAAGAAGCAACAGTTAGAACTGAACATGGAACAACAGACTGGTTCCAAATTGGGAAGGGAGTACGTCAAGGCTGTATATTGTCACCCTGCTTATTTAACTTATATGCAGAGTACATCATGTGAAATGCTGGGCTGGATGAAGCACAAGCTGGAATCAAGATTGCCGGGACAAATAACAACCTCAGATATGCAGATGACACCACCCTTATGGCAGAAAGCAAAGAAGAACTAAAGAAGAGCCTCCTGATGAAAGTGAGAGGAGAGTGAAAAAGCTGGCTTAAACTCAACATTCAGAAAACTAAGATCATGGCATCCAGTCCCATCACTTCATGGCAAATAGATGGGGAAACAGTGGAAACACTGACAAACCTGATTTTCTTGGACTCCAAAATCACTGCAGATGATGACTGCAGCCATGAAATTAAAAGATGCTTGCTCCTTGGAAGAAAAGCTATGACAAACCTAGACAGCATATTAAAAAGCAGAGACATTACTTTGCCTATAAAGGTCCATATAGTCAAAGCTATGATTTTTCCAGTAATGTATGGATGTGAGAGTTGGACTATAAAGAAAGCTGAGCACTGAAGAATTGATGCTTTTGAACTGTGGTGTTGGAGAAGACTCTTGAGAGTCCCTTGGACTGCAAGGAAATCAAAGCAGTCAATCCTAAAGGAAATCAGTCCTGAATATTCATTGGAAGGACTGAGGCTGAAGCTGAAGCTCCAATACTTTGGCCACATGATGTAAAGAATTGACTCATTGAAAAAGACCTTGATGCTGGGAAAGATTGAAGGCAGGAGGAGAGGGGGATGACAGAGGATGAGATAGCATCACCGACTCTATGGACATGAGTTTGAGCAAGCTCTGGGAGTTGGTGATGGACAGGGAAGCCTGGTGTGCTGCAGTCCATGGGGTCACAAAGAGCCTGACACGACTGAGCAACTGAACTGAACTTCCTTTTTTAGGTCATTGCTGTCCTAAGCAAATGGTTCTTTGTACTCTGCTTGCAAATTTTCTGTGAGTTTAAAAGTGTTTCCAAATTAAAAGTTAAGCACCCCCCCAAAAAAAAAAAATTAACTGCAGGGGGCATGGGTTTGATCCTTGGTCACAGAACTACCAAAACTGCAGGACACAGTCAAACATTAAAAAAAAAAGAAAGCTAGGAAATGGCACAATTGCTCAAGTGAACTAACGTCAAGAAATGATTTTTTAACAATAAGATATAGAAATATTGTGTTTATGACATAAAAAACGCCAGTAAAGTCAAGGGCTTACTAGCATCAAGTGAGATCTTAATGGTGCTGGGTAACAGTAGTTCATTTTCTGAATCCATTCACTTCCCCACATTCCTAAATAACTAACATTAGAATCTCAGATGCCATTGATTATAAGGTACATCATTATTTTACATATTACTAGGAAAGAGAAAAGACTACCAATTAAACTATGGCATGTCATCATTTGTGAGATGGCAATTTCGCATATGTTGAAATATGAAAAAAAAAATTAGAATCAATCTAATGCAGAATTTCTTATCTTTTCTTTCCTCATATCTCAAATACCTTTTCCCTAATTTCACTTTGAGCTTCCACTTTCACTTATAAAATAGAAACACTGAGGGAAGATATCCTCAGTCTCCCCCCACCAAATCTGTACCTATCGATTCTGCTTCTCTTGTTATTTCAATGAATAAATTGCCCAGGCTCTTGCTTAGAACTGATCCTCCCAATTGTGTGCTGGATTCCATCCCTTCTTTCCTCGAGGACTTTGCTCTTGCAACTGTCCTGTCTCTCCTGTATTGTTGATTTTCCCCTCTTCACTGTATCATTTTAATTAGGATACAAACACTCTAATTTCTTCCATCTTAAAAAAAAATTCTGAACCCCAAATCCATCTGCAATGGACAGTTTTACTTTCCTATTCATCTTTTAAAAATTGAAGGAGTATGTCTATAAGTACTTGCCGTCTCCCGTTGTTCCATTCCCACTCCTAATTCTTATCAGATTTTATCAAAAAGGGCATGTTTCAGCCATCCCCACATTGCTCAATCCAATGGTCAATTATTACTTCTCATCCGACCTAACCTTTCAATAGCATTTAGCGCAATGGATCACTCCCTCCTCCTTGAAACGTTCTCTTCCCTTGATTTTGCAGGCCCAAACCTTCTTGCTTTTCCATCTGCCTCAGGATTATTCCGTCTCAGTCTTCTTTGTTGGGTCCTCTTCGTGTTTCTGACCTAAGCTACTGTATTACTAGAAAAGACTGAACTGAATAAAGGCAAATTATTCTCTTAGCAAACTGCTGACTTAGATTTTCCAGTATTTAAAAATTCTGAGGTCTATAGCTTTTAAGCAAAAATGATATCTACATCTCCCTTTTATAAGTGAGCATGTCTCTTCAAGCAGCCCCAAAGATACCAGACGTGGAGTCTCCCTCTAAGGAGGCAGGACCGACGCATTCCAGAAATAAGCTCCATAGGCTTTATGGGAAATGTAGTACTGGATGAATAGCCTGAACCCCGCGGAAGCCTGGGAACTCTGGGCTAAGAGTTATTTCCGGACACGCGCAGTGGGGTGGTAGCAGGTATTCTGTAATTTTCCAACCAGTACTGCTTGAAGTGAGAGTTGGGGTATCTCCCGGATCTGGGAGATCTCCGTAACCTGATCTCCAGCTTAGAGCCGGAGCTGGGAGTGTGGCGGTGCAAAGCTGGCAAGTATGACTCTACAGAACTTGGGGGATGTAAGGAAGGGGCAGGAAGAAAGGGACCGCTTCATTGGCTTACCCTACGAAAATAAAACGTGAAAACCCTCACATGCGGTGGCTTCCAGTTTGGGTGTATGGGTCCTGTCCCATTCTGGAGTAGTTCATAGAAAGCAAGGGAAGGGTCCAACTAGATCCCAGTTGCGGCTTGAGCAAGTTCAGTTTGCATTCCTGCTCTTGTGCTTTAAACTGCACCTTTCCTGATGACAAAAGCACCTTTGGCCCTACCAGAGCCTGCAAAAGGATATAGTAACCATTTTAAGGGATCTAGGAAGAAAACATTTTTAGAGAAACTTCGGTGCATGCTTTAGGGTATTTTCATGTGAAGTGAAAATATCTCCTGCCGTATTAATAAACAAGAAATGTCACAGCTATCAGTGATATCTGGCTTCCAAATGTGAATGAGGACTGCTAAAACTGCGATCCAGCAGAAGCTGCTGCCCGCCCCCCTCCCGAAGGTGATTGCTTTGGAGCTGGGGGATTGCCAAAAGTAAGGTGAATTCAGGAAACAGTATTAGCCCCAGAAAGGGAGGTGCATATGAAAGGAATGAATTCAGTGAGCCCAGAGGCTTGCATCTTCCCATACATAAAATGCTAAATTCCTTAACTTGGTACTGATATTTGATGTTCAGCCTGCCTGCTTCCATTGTTGCAAACTTGTATATAACCTGACTTCCTCTCCTGCCTCCTTGGAGCAGTTTTCCCAGAGTTTCTGAGATGCTGTCTCCCAGGCTAACATTCCCATCAAATAAAATAACTCTCTACTTTCAGATTGTGACTATATTTTTTTAGTCAACACTCACAACAATCAGCTGAAGTAAATATTATCTCTATTTTGTATATGAGTTAACTGAAGCAGAAAGGTGAGTTTAACTTGCCTGGACTCAGGCAGTTTAGTATAGATGATCTGAGAGTTAAACTCCAGATGAGTTTCCTTCAAGTTTCATTCTTTTTGCAAGATGAGAAGAACCTGCCAAACAAATCATTGGATTTATTTTTCTTTCAAAATATTTTTATATATGCTGAGTAAATTTTGGTTTGTCATCATTAAAAAAAAAAAAACAACTCTTGGTATATGTATGGCTGAGTCACTTTGCCGTTCACCTGAAACTACCACAACATTGTTAATCGGCTATACCCCAACACAAAATAAATTTTTTTAAAAAAAGAACCCTTGGTGAATCTGCAGATTTTCCAGTGATGATTGTAAATAAAGCTGAGAGTGGCTCTTGTGCATTTTAGCCTTTCTAGGGCCCTAGCAGTGCTGGTTGGAATTTCAAAAAGCCCAGATTGGGCCTGTAGGAGATGGTGAGATTGAGAGAGAGAGATTGAGATTTAGAGTCTCAACTGAAGACTTCAGCTTAAAAAAAAAATACCCACACCCACCCCCAAGCCCCCTCCACCCTGTCCCTGCATCCAGCCTCTTCATAAAACCTAATTTGAGATCTCTTACCCAATCCACCTACAGAACAGAGGCCAGAGAATCACAGGAAGGAATGACTTCCGAAGATAACTGAGCTTGAGAGATCAGGCTTTTAGTTATCACTTTAACTCATTCATTATTATCTACTTAGAATGAATTTCTGGGAGGAAAAACCTGTCACTGGTTTAAAGGTTAACGATTTGCTATTAGGTCAGTATGATAGAAACGTACAGCCTACTAATATAAGATCATTGCTTATAAAATGTGGACATTTCTGACTTGCTGGAAGTGTCATTCTCTCACTGGGTGGCATTTTCTCAGACTGCACTGAGAAAATGTGTGTGCTTCTGTTCTCATAGAGCAGGGTTCTCCATTGCAGTCCTGGTATTTCATGTCTTTATTCTCTTCCCCATTTCTACTTTCATAGATCTCTGTGCAAGAGAGGCAGAAATGATCAACTTCAAGGTAAGGCATCCATTTATTGTTATTAAAATCTGTCTCTTTTTTTTTAATGGGTAAGAAGTGGATTTATTTAAAGAGATACACAGTCCGTAGACAGAGTGTGCACCATCTCAGAAAACAAGAGGTCCAAATCTCTTTAAAAAATCCTTATAAAGAGGAGATGTATAGTTAGGGAGAATGTAGACTGAATAAATCAGGTCCAATAGGAAATTCAGAAAATTGATAAATTGATATCCAGGTTATAGCATTGGTCAACATTTAAGTAGAGCTTCATATGTGTACCCACTCTTTCTGGTGATCGTAGAAAATGGGTAGCCAACCAAAGTATTGGCTTTGTCCAGGAGCATAAAGCAGAACAATTCCCCTGATAAGTAAAATTTATCCTAGCACAGTTCTCCAAAGAAAATATCTTACAATAGGGTTTCAAAGAGGTTATGTTAGCAACAGTATTGCCAGTAACAATTCTGTGATAAATGTAACATCCACACCATGGAATATTACTCAGCCATTAAAAAGAATTCATTTGAATCAGTTCTAATGAAATGGATGAAACTGGAGCCCATTATACAGAGCGAAGTAAGCCAGAAAGATAAAGACCATTACAGTATACTAACACATATATATGGAATTTAGAAAGATGGTAATGATAACCCTATATGCAAAACAGAAAAAGAGACTCAGATGTATAGAACAGACTTGTGGACTCTGGGAGAAGGCGAGGGTGGGATGTTTCAAGAGAACAGCATCGAAACATGTATATTATCTAGGGTGAAACAGATCACCAGCCCAGGTTGGGTGCATGAGACAAGTGCTCGGGCCTGGTGCACTGGGAAGACCCAGAGGGATCAGGTGGAGAGGGAGGTGGGAGGGGGGACCGGGGTGGGGAATATATGTAAATCCATGGCTAATTCATTTCAATGTATGACAAAAACCACTGCAATGATGTAAAGTAATTAGCCTCCAACTAATAAAAATAAATGAAAAAAAAAAATGTAACATCCAATTTCCAGTGACCTTCTTAGGAGTGTTCCCTAGAATAAACAGAGAACATAGTGCCAAGAACTCCGTTTGTAAGTCTGTGTGTGCTGTGCTATGCTGTGCTTAGTCGCTCATTTGTGTCTGATTCTTTGCGACCCCATGGACTGTAGCTTGCCAGCCTCCTCTGTCCATGGGGGTTCTCCAGGCAAGAATACTAGTGTGAGTTGCCATGCCCTCCTCCAGGGGATCTTCCCAACCCAGGGGATAGATTAGGTATCATTATTGTGATTGCATTACACTTTTAGATAAATTTGGAGAGAATTCATAACTTTTCAGTAATGAGTTCTCCATTTTATTTCCATTTTTATTTTGGTCCTTCATTATAGTTGTATAGGTTTTTATGGTAATTCTTATTCATTTCTTATAATGTTTATTCTTACACATGGTTTAAGTTGGTATTGAGAATGGGATGAATATTTTTTTCATAATATTTTCTAACTGGCTACTCTGGTGCATAGGAAAGTATGGATTTGCCTGTTTGACTTTATTCAACTTACAGAACTCTTACTAAGTCTGAGTTTTTTAGTTTATTCTTAGATTTTCTAGATAGACCATCATATACTCTTCAAATGGAGTTTTGTCCCGTATTTGCTTATCTCCTTTTTTTTTTGTCTTATTGCAATGGACAGGATTTCTAGTACTATAATTTTGAATATAATTGCTAGCCAAAATCTTTTCTGGTCCACTTTTAATGGCATTTCTTCCAGTGTCTTAATATTCTGGTAGATAGTTATTCTTCATTTTTTTATTTTTAATCAAGTTAAGGATTCTTAGCTTATTAAGATTATTTTCATAAATTGGGAACTTTTTTCCTCATATACTTTTATACTTGTCAATAATATATTTCTTGCTTTTAACATAACAGTTTAAAGAATTTCTAATACTGTTCCCCTTAAAGGGACAAACAGTAAATATTTTAGGCTTGAAGGTTATATACCTTCTGTGACAGCTACTCTACTCTGCCCTTGTAGTTGAAGTAAAACAAATAGGCATAACTGTTTTCCAGTTACATTTTATTTACAAAATTATATTTCTTCTAAATAAAATTATTTCTGTGGCATTAAAAAAAAGCTTAGAAATGTTGCTATGTGCCTTTTTAATTTCAGTTTAAATTAAAAATGATTTTGATTCATGGTTAGGATATATTTTATCATATAAAAATCTGTTTTTCTATTTTATTATGCTTATATAAGTCTAGCCTATTAACCTTATAGCCAATTTAACATCTAATTACCTTTATACATTTATTTTGTAGTGTTTAATAAGCTGTAAAATTGCTGAGGGCAGTAATAATTTTTTTCTTTTTTGTATCACTAGTACTGTACTTTGTGTGTCCTCATTAAATATTATATGAGTGAATGAATGAAGAACATATAAACAATATTTTAAAATAATTTTATTAAGACAGTTCACTTATTGTAAGTTGATCACCTTAAAATCTGTATATTAGCACAATTGTGAAACTGTCATCATTAATCTCAGAACATTTTCATATCCTCAAAAGAAACCCCATACCCATTAACAGTTACTCTCCATTCCTTCCTTCCCCCAGCCCTGAATTACTTTATGTTTTTATGGATTTGCCTGTTCTGAAAATTTCATACAAATGGAACTATACAATATGTGATCTCTTGTGACTGGCTTCTTTCACCTAGCACAATATTTTCAAGGATCATCTATGTCATAGAGTCCTTTTTAGTACTGAATAATATTGGATCATATGGATATACCTCATTTTGTTTATTCATTTATTACTTGCTCAATACCCATATTGTTACCACTTTTGCCTGCTATGAATTCTGCCATGGACATGTGTGTATGGTTTTTGTGTGGACATATATTCCCAACTCTTTTGGGTATATACCTAGGAAAAATTGCTGGGTATATGGTAACTCTATGTTTAATGTTTTGAAAAACTCCTTAATTGTTTTCCATAGTTGCTGCACCATTTTACAATTCCATCAGAAGTGTATGAGAGTTCTAGTTTCTCCCTACCCTTGTGAAAAACTTGTCATTGTCTGCCTTTGATTTTAGCCATTCTATTGGATGTAAAGTGATATCTCATTGTGATTTTGATTTGTACATCTTTTCATGTGCTTTTGGATCATATCTGTCTTTGGAAAAATGTCTGTTCAAATCCTTTGCCGATTTTTAGATTGAGTTTTCTTTTTATTGTTGTAAGAATTCTTTTTATTTTAGAGACAACTCTCTTTTCAGATAGATGATTTACAAATATTTCCTGCTATTTTGTGAGTTGTCAGTTTCACATTCTTCATGGTGTCCTTTGAAGCACAAAAATGCTTAATTTTGATAAATTCCAATTTATCTATTTTTTCTTTTATCACACTTCTTCTATCATGTCTAAGAAACTTTTACCTAATCCTAGGTCATAAAGATTTACTCCCTTGTTTTCATGTCAGAATTGTATACAGTTGACCCTTGATTAACACAGCTTTGAACTGTGTGGGTCCACTTATGTGCAGGTTTTTTCCAGTAAATACATCTGTAGTACTACATGACCTGTGGTTCATTGAATTCATGGTTGTGGAACCACAGATATGGAGGTACCTGTAAACTTATGTGGATTTTTGGCTGTGGGGAGGATTGGCACCCTAACCCCCAAGTTGTTCAAGGGTTAGTTTTAGCCACTGTAGTTTAAACCATGCTTACATTGGATCTCTGATCCATTTTTAGTTCATTTTTATTATGATGACTTCTCTGGTGGCTCAGAGGGTAAAAGCTTCTGCCTACAATGCGGGAGACCCGGGTTCGATCCCTAGGTTGGGAAGATCCCCTAAAGAAGGAAATGGCAACCCACTCCAGTACTCTTGCCTGGAAAATCCCATGGATAGAGAAGCCTGGTAGGCTACAGTCCATGGGGTCGCAGAGTCAGACACGACTGAGCAACTTCACTTTCTTTTATTATGATATGAGGTGTGTGGGTTGGAGGTTGGAGGGAGTCCAACTTCACTCTTTTGCATGTGGACATCCAACTGTCCCAACAACATTCGTTTAAAAGACTATTCTTTCTGCTATTGAATTGTTCTGATACTATTTGAATATTTTTAATATAATTTTTGTTTCTATCACAAAGTAATTTCTGAATCAGGTGTATAGTAGTTTTCATACATAACTTTGAAAACTCATCAATGAACATAATATGATCCTAAGAGGCTGCCATGACTCTTATAAGTCCCCAAATGATGCACACTTTAGTTTGAAGATCCATGTACTATTACAGGGATCAGTGACACTCCAGGATGTGGCTGTGGAATTCACCCCAGAGGAGTGGCAGCTGCTTGACTGTGATCAGAGAACCCTGTATTGGGATGTGATGTTGGAGAACTTTAGAAACCTCATCTCAGTGGGTAAGGACAGTGGGTGGTAACTTTTTAGTTTTAACTCAAAATGTTTTAACAGTACCCTTCCTTTAAGACCTGTGAAAGCTGTGAACATTCTGAAGCATTAGTAAGTTTGGCCTTGAACTTCATTAGTCAAAGATTCTTAATCTCCTTTGGGGATCACGTACTGTGTTTATGCTTCTGCCTCCTAAGTGAAGAAGGGTCTTTTCTGTTCTGAAGCCTGTTTGTCAGTCTTCACAGGCCCTAAGACGCCAGGAGGCAAACCCAAATTATGAGGTAGTTGTTCCTAGCACTTTGTCCCCAGTTCTGTGTTGTTTCCCAGGAACAGGGTGTCCAGTTACTGAAACAACAGTGATATTCAAGGTGGAGCAAGGACAAGAACCATGGATGGTGGAGGGAGAGAACTCACGTTGGAGCTCTCCAGGTGAGTCAGAGAAAACCAGGAAGATGGGAGTCTTTGAAATTGGGGTCCCAGTTGGTGAGTGAGGGACTGGCATCTTTGAAACACTTTTTAGGAAGCACATACCTTTGGAAGTGACTGGGTGCACTTGACATGACATCCTCAGATCCCCAAATGACACCTTCAGTTCCACTCTCCCACGTGGCTGCTCTCTCTCTTCCTCAGCTCTTGTGTAGGAGGACGTCCTGCCGCTCCACTTTGACTCCTCACACTGCCCATTGCATCGAAGTGCTTGCTTGGTTCTCTCAATTCCTAGAATCCTCATTGTTCTTTCCTCCTCAACATGATGGCAGATCTTTCCATACATCTAGTTCTAATAATGTAGTCAGCTTATTTGGATTTGCAGTCTTACTCCACCAACCTCTTTTGGATAAGGTTAGAGGACTGGAGAGGGAGAAGGAAATGGCAACCCATTTCAGTATTCTTGCCTGGAAAATCCCAGGGACAGAGGAGCCTGGTGGGCTGCCGTCTATGGGGTCGCATAGAGTCGGACACGACTGAGGCGACTTAGCAGCAGCAGCAGAGGGCTGGAGATATAAAAATGTTCTTGAAGGGAACTGATATTGAGCCAGATAACCAAGAGGAAAAAAGAGACATGAATGCAGAAAAAAGGGAGGTATTCTACCAGGGTGATCTAGGAATTATGTAATGAGGATTCTGATTCTGATCTCCCTCTTCCAAATCTAATTTTCCCTTAACTCCATTGTCTCTTACTCCTCTCCCTGTCCATTGATCACATCTCCATAGTGGGCTGTCTTTGTTCTGTGAGTTGACCGTACACCCTGTTGAGCAACTTTTTGATTTTCTTTGTACTGTCCTCACTACCTTGTGCTATTTTATTGTTGTTGTTGTTTTTTTCTTCAGGTCACAAGTTAAGCCACCCATTCTCACAGTCATTCTGTCTCCTTTTTTCCTCCCTAGCAGTTTTATTCTTTTTTTGTTTGTTTGTTGTTTAGTTTTATTCTTAAAGTTCAGGAGCAAGGTGAAAACATACTTGTTTCAGAATGAGACTAGATTTGAAATCAAGTTTCTTTCTATGACTGTCAATGGCAAAAATTAACTAGGAACATTTCATTGTACTCCTTTTTAGAAGCTGACTGCCCACTTGTTGATGAATCAGACAAGCACCAGAAAAGCAAAGACAATTTTTTAAATTCAGTTTTGTTCATGTTCAATAAAATTCAGACTGTGGAGAGACTTCATGGTTATAATATGAGCACAAGTCTTAATCCTACAAGAGAAAAATCATATAAATGTAAGTCATATGGGAAGAGTTTGCAACCTACTTTGGACTTTCTTAATTATAATAGATGTTATAATGGAGAACACTCTGATGAATGCAATGAATGTGGGAAAGCCTTCAAAAAGAAATTTAATTTCATTAGACATGAAAAAAATCATACAAGAAAAAAACTGTTTGAATGCAACAACTGTGGGAAAGCCTATAGCAGCCAGGCACACCTTGCCACTCATCAGAAAATTCATAACAGAGAGAGACCCTTTGTGTGCAGTGATTGTGGAAAAGCGTTTACACATAAAGCACAGCTCGTGGTCCATCAGAGACTCCACACTGGAGAGAAGCCTTATGAATGCAGTCAGTGTGGAAAATCATTCACTTGGAATTCTTCCTTTAATCAACACATGAAATCGCATACACTTGAGAACTCATTTGAATGTAAGGAATGTGGGAAAACGTTCAGGTATAGTTCATCCCTTTATAAACACTCTAAATTTCATACAGGAGAGAAACCATATCAATGCATTGTATGTGGCAAAGCCTTTGGCAACAGTTCTGTGCTTGTTACCCATCAAAGAATTCATACAGGAGAGAAACCTTATGGATGTATTAAATGTGGCAAAGCCTTCATCAAGAAGTCTCATCTCCTTAGACATCAAATAACTCATACAGGAGAAAGGCCCTATGAATGTAGCAAATGTGGGAAATCATTTTCCCAGAAGTCAAATCTTATTGTACATCAGAAAATTCATATGTAACATTCACTTATGAATATGAGAAAGCTTTAATATTTGATAAGTTATTGAGTAGAGAATTCATGGTGAAGAGAAATCAACAATTTGAAGGAACTGAAAGAATAAATTTCCATAAAAAAATCAATGCCAGTCATGTTCTGGAAGTGATAAAGTTTTTAGAGGAAAGATCACAGAAAACGTTAATTTATAATGATAAAACTTAGACCTTGGAAAGCATAAATTAAACAATCAAGGAATCAGTGAAAACTACATTTAGCATCTCTGATTATTTTTATAACAAATTATATAATTATGCAAGTATGAATATAAAATAAGTTTATATATTAAATTATATCTATTAAGAGTTTCTGAAGTAAATATCACACTTTTTCTTCCAATCTGAATAGTAACATGCAAGTGAAAAAATGTGGTTTAAGATATAGTATGAATTTCAGTAATATTTTCATCCATTCGCTGGCACTTTTAATGGGTATGGCAGTGTTATTGAATCTCAGAGTCTCCTCTTTAATTCTAAAACTTGTTATAAAGATTTATAGAATTACATGTGTGTATAATTTAACAAGATATCAATTGAGATGGTGAAAGCAGTTGTATTCTATACACTAAGTACTCAGTTGTGGAAAAGGAAGTATTTAAAGAAGTATGTAAATAAAAGATTTGCGCTTCAGATATCCCTGTTCTTTTTCATTGATGTATCCACCTAAGGTGTAAGCATAGCTCGAGTAGGAGTTACCTAGGGTATCATCTGAATTTCATCTTAATAAAGTAGGGTGTCGTGATACTTTGCAACTTTCAGGGAGCAAGTTTTGGGATCTATTTTTTGTTTTCTTGTTAAGAGATTGATACAGGTTTAGCTCTTAGAACTGCCTGGAATTTTCCATGTGACAGCATATGGAAAGTTTCCATAGGCACATTAGTTGAGTTGAAAAGAGCACTTTTGTTGGTTATGTTTTGTTTAGCAACTTTGGAATGTGACATTTGGTAAATTCCAAATATTCCCTTAAAAGGATAAACCAATCATTATTTAAGCTACAGTTTTTATTATTGTACACAATATTCCTTAATAATGTTAAAAAACTTTTATGCCTTTTTTTGAGTTGTGGCAAAACAGCTTGATCCTAAATTCAGAAATCAGGCCTTTTCAAGTTTAGGCTCAGTTACAACTTTTTTACATTGCTTTTCTTTCATTAACCATGTTTTGAAGAGTAATGTTGAGTAATGATTATAAATGAATGCTAGTGCTTTTTTGAACAAACATACTAGAACTTAAGGATCTAAATTAAATATTTTACTGAATATTTTTTTGCTTGACTAAACTTTAGTCAGGTTCCTGAAACTTTCTGAGGCTCACCTGAACACTTTCTTAAAAAATCTATTTTTAGCAAGAACCCTGCTAAAAAGAGAGTTCATTTTAAACAGAACTCTCCACCCTGAGTGTCTGATCAGATTTCTCATCCTCCATCATCCTTCAGGTAATGTCTGATTGCCCTGGCCTGTTTCGGCAAGAATCCTGTTAGGATGATTTAGCCAGAACCCTCCTTTACCCCTAATGTTTTCCCTTCTTTTCCCTAATGTTTTCTCTTAGTAATTTTCCATTCACTGACTCCTACCCTACTCCTTGGCTGTAAATACCCACTTGTCCACAGTATATTCAGAATTGAGCCTGACTAAAATCCCATTGCAATGGTCCCTCTGCCTATCTCACTGGTCCTGAAGAAAGTCTGCCTTGTCATTTGTCATCTTTAACAAATGTCATTAAATACCTTTTTTTCTTTAACAGTTTGCCAGTTATTTTAGGAGACTACATATTGTTTACACTCTTTCAGTTCCCCAAATCTTTGTTACCTTATTTTGGAATTGTCTTCAGAATCAGTTTGCCAGCCACACAGGGAATTCTGTTTTTGGCCACATGGCATGAGGGATCTTAGGTCCCCACCCAGGATCAAACCGGTACCCCCTGCAGTGGAAGTGCAGAGTCTTAGCCACTAGACCACCAGGGAAGTCCTGGGAATTCTTTAAGTACTTATAGTTATGAAATTTGCCTTTTTTCAACTCAACAGTTTTCTCATTTCCTACATGAAATCCTCATTTTGCCTTGCTTAGTGCTTCCCATCCCCATCCTATCTCCCCTTCCCATGCCCATGCTTCTCATCTAAGAAACTCCAAATTACTTAAGACTATAGGAGGGCACATTTGAAGAGGAAGTAGGGAGCTCTATTGTTGTCAGCATGACGTGAGGTTCCCTTGGAAGAGCAGCTGTGTAGGCAAGAAATTTGTAAAGATGTGGCAAGAAGTGTGTAAAGATCTGTAAATAAAATAAGGAATCTTTAGTTGTGGCATGTGAACTCTTAGTTGTGGCATGTGAGATCTAATTCCCTGACCAGGGATTGAACCCGGACCCCTTGCCTTGGGAACATGGAATATTACCCACTGGACCACCAGAGAAGTCCCTAAAATAAGGGAGTTTTAATTGTAATACATCAGGAAGCTTGTGATCTAGGTTCTGTAATTTGCTCCCTTCCATAAGTGAAAGAAGAAATACAATAAGCAAGTTAAAAATATATTTCCAGTACTAGACAAATATAAATTGCCACCTTGAAAGCTTTTGTCACTGACCTCATTGTTAGGCTGTACAAGATTTTGACAAGAAGAAAACCAAAAGTATACTTAGCTCCATCCAAACATTCCCAGAACTCCCTACTCTGTATTCTCAGGCTGAAACAGCCATACACAGTCTAATGGAGAAATCCCTTAATTTTTCCCACCTCCAAGAGTTTGTCATACATTGAGATTTTCTTTCTTGTTTAGCTTTATAAAAAGATCACTGAAAAATCCTTTGTTTCTCTTTTAGGGCATTTTTTCCACCAGTGAATCTGCTCCATTTTTTCTGTTTATATCATACATGGTAATTTTTAAGAATTAAATATGAAACGGATAATGAAAAGAAGAAAACACAGAACATGGAAAAGGGAGATCTGAAATTAGGAATCCTTGAGTTCTGAAAAAGGATAAGGCCGTACAAGGTGAAAAAAATGTAATGGTAACTAGAAAAACAAATATAATGTATAACTTAAAAATCTGAAGAGAGGAATAATGAAAACTTCATAAATCCAACAAAGCAGGAAAGGTGAAAGTTGCAGAAAAAAGGCATGATAAATAGAAAGTCCCCCTGCCAAAAAAAAAAAAGAGGTAGAAACAAAAGCATATCAATAATATTAACTGAAAATGGGTTAAACTCACCCACGATGAGGAAGAAACAATGGTCTCTTATTTTTTTTTTGTTGTCGTTCAGTCACTAAGTCATGTCCAGCTCTTTGCGACCCCATGGACTGCAGCATGCCAGGCTTCCCTGTCCTTCACTATCTCCCAGAGATTACTCAAACTCATGTCCATTGAGTCAGTGATGCCATCCAACCGTTTCATCCTCTGCTGCCCCCTTCTCCTCCTGCCCTCAATCTTTCCCAGCATCACTGTCTTTCCAATGAGTTGGCTCTTCTTATCAGGTGGTCAAAGTATTGGAGCTTCAGCTTCAGCATCAGTCCTTCCAATGAATATTCAGGGTTGATTTCCTTTAGGATTGACTGGTTTGATCTCCTTGCAGTCCAAGGGACTTTCAGGAGTCTTCTCCAGTACCATAGTTCGAAGGCATCAATTCTTTAGTGTTCTGACTTCTTTATGGTCCAACTCTCACAACTGTATGTGACCACTGGGAAGGCCATTGCTTTGACTATACACGGACCTTTGACGTCAAAGTAATGTCTCTGCTTTTCAATATGCTGTCTAGGTTTGTCATTGCTTTCCTGCCAAGAAGCAATTGTCTTCTGATTTCGTGGCTGCAGTCAATGTCTGCAGAGATTTTGGAGCCCAAGAAGAGGAAATCTGTCACTACCACCTTTTCCCCTTCTATTTGCCATGCAGTGGTGGGGGTGGATGCCATGATCTTAGTGTTTTTAATATTTAGTCTTAACCTGGCTCTTTCACTCCCCTTCTTCACCCTCATCAAGAGACTCTTTAGTTCCTCTTTGCTTTGTGCCATTAGAGTGGTATGTATCATCCGCAAATCTGAGGTTGTTGATGTCTCTCCCGCCTATCTTAATTCCAGCTTGTAACTCATCCAGCCTGACATTTCTCATGATGCACTCAGTGTATAGATTAAACAGGCTGACAGCAGACAGCCCTGTCATACTCCTTTGTCAATCTTGAAACAATCAGTTGTTCCATACAGAGTTCTAACTGTTGTTTCTTGACCTGCATACAGGTTTCTCAGGAGACAAGTGAGATGGTCTGGTATTCCCATCTCTCTAGGAGCTTTCCACAGTTTGACATGATCCACACAAAGGCTTTAGCATAGTCAATGAACAGAGAGAGATGTTTTTCTGAAGTTCCCTTGCTTTCTCTATAAGCCAGCGAATGTTGGCAATTTGATCTCTAGTTCCTCTTCCTTTTCTAAACCCAGCTTGGACATCTGGAAGTTCTTGATGTCATATTATGCTGAAGCCTAGAATGCAAAATTTTAAGCATGATGTTACTATCATGGGAGAAGAGTGTAATTGTCCAATGGTTAGCACATTCTTTGGTATTACCCTTCTTGGGGTTTGGGATAAGGATTGACTTTTTCCAGTCCTGTGGCCACTGCTGGGTCTTCCAGATTTGCTGACATAATGAATACAAAACTTTGATGGCTTCATCCTTTAGGGATTTGAATAGTTCTGCTGTAATTTCATTCCATCCACTAGCTTTATTAACAGCAGTGTTTCTTAAGACCCACTTGACTTGGCACTCCAGAATGTCTGACTCTAGGTGACTAATCATACCATTGTAGTAATCCAGTTCATTAAGATCTTTTTTTATACAGTTCTTCCCTGTATTCTTTCCATCTCAATCTCTTCAGCATCTACTAGGTCTCTACCATTTTTATCCTTTATTGTGCCCATCTTTGGGTGGAATGCTCCCTTGAAGTTTCCATTTTTCCTAAAGAGAATCTCTAGTCTTTCCCTTTCTGTTGTTTTCTTCTATTATTAAGCACTGTTCATTGAAGAAGGCCTTCTTATCTCTTCTAGTTTTATTTTGGAACTCTGCATTTAATTGGGTGTACCTTTCCCTCTCTCCTTTGCTTTTCACTTCTTATTGTTCTTCCACTATTTGTAATGCCTCCTCAGATAACCACTTTGCTTTCTTGCTTTTCTTTTTCTTCAGGATGGTTTTGTTCACTGCCTCGTGTACAGTGTTATGGACTTCATCCTTTGTTCTTCGGGCACACTGTTAACTATATCTAGCCCCTTGAATCTGTTAGTTACCTCTACTGCAGATTCATACAGGATTTGATTTAAGTCATACCTGGCTGGCCTATTGTTTTTTTCCAGTTTTCTTTAGTTTAAGCCTGAATTTTGCTATGAGAAGGTGATGATATGAGCCACAGTCAGCTCCAGGTCTTGTTTTTGCTGACTGTATACAGCTTCTCCATCCTCAGCTACAAAGAATGTAATCAGTTTGATTTTAGTATTGACCATTTGGTGATGTCCATGTGTAGTCATTTCTTGTGTTATTGAAAAAGGGTATTTGGTATGACTAGTGTATTCTCTTGGCAGAATTCAGTTAACCTTTGCCCTGCTTCATTTTGTT